GTTCAGGGTTTAGGGTTTACGTTTTACGGTTTACGGTTCAGGGTTTCGGGTTTAGGGTTAGAAGAACCTCATGAAACAATGAAGCCACAGATTCACCGCCCTCGATCCCAAGCCTTACCTTAGGTGGCAAACCGACCTGGAGCGCGGCAGGACGCTCACCGTGTAGGTCACCGTGGACCGGTTGCCGAAGTCCTCCAGATCCTGAGGAATGGCTTCAGGGTTTTCCAGGCCTAAATGGCGGTTTTGTAAAGGTAACGTAAGGCTTGTAGGAATGTATAGGGCTTGTAGGGATGTATAGGGGCAATATAGGGAAGTGAACACTATTTGGGCTTATCATCAAATCAAGAATGCCTTTTAGACGGGTTTGGGTTGTAGTCTTGTCAGTTTTCTACTTGCGGGCTTCAACCCTTAACCCTAAACCCTAGGCCCTAAACCCTCTTGTGGGGCTGGAGGGACCTCATCGCTCAGGGCTTCAGGATGCTTCAGGTTTAAGCTCCCCAATCCCTGAAGCCCCCAACCCGAAAGCCCCAAACCGCAAACCCCAAACCCGGAACCAGACACCCATAAAATCTAGGGTTGGGGCTTTAGGGTTTAGGGTTTAGGGTCTCCGAAGCCTTAAACTAAACCCTAAACCCTAAACCCTAAACCCTAAACCCTAAACCCTAAACCCTAAACCCTAAACCCTAAACCCTAAACCCTAAACCCAATCCCAAAAAGCCCTCATCAACCCCAGAAGGCCCGAAACAGCCCTAGAGGGACCTAAGCCCTGATAGTATCCCAACTACAATAACTCTTGTTTAGGGCTTAGGGTTTAGGGTTTAGGGTTTAGGGTTTAGGGTTTAGGGTTTAGGGTTTAGGGCTTAGGGTTTAGGGTTTAGGGTTTAGGGTTTGGGGTGTAGGGCAAAATCCCGAAAGCCCTGAAGGCCCTAAGCCGGCCTCGCGGGAGGCCGAGGCCCGGAACCTGGCTTTTGGGGTTTAGGGTTTAGGGTTTAGGGTTTAGGGTTTAGGGTTTAGGGCTTTGGGGTTCAGGGTTCGGTGGTTTAGGGGCTTAGGGGGACAGGGGTTTATGGTCTGGGATTTGGTGTCTAAGGGTTCGCTGGTTTAGGGGTTTAGGGGGATAGGGGTTTATGGTCTGGGATTCCATAAACCCCAAACTCTCAACCGTTTGGGGGCTTAGGGGTTGTATGGTTTAAGCTTCAGTGAGGATTCTTGGAGGGTTCTACACGGGCGCCTAAAGGACTCGGAAAGCCTGTTTCTTTAGGTTTAGGGTTTAGGGTCTGTCCTGTGTCCCTGTGGCGGTGGTTGATTTTGAATTCCGGTGGCGGGAGGAATCATGGTGAACCTCTACGTAACAAGTAACCCTAAACCCCATAAGCCCAAACCCTAATTCCCCTCAAGCCCAAACCCTAAACACCCCCTAAAGCCCAATCCCCAAACCCTACCCCTCAGCCAGTAGACCCTAAACCTCAAACGTCCCAGGGACTGATGGCCAACCCTAAACCCTGAACCCTAAAGGCCCGAAGCCCCAAGCCTTGAACCCTAACCGCTCCAGGAACTGAGGCGTCTGCACCCCTAAAGGCCCTCAGCTATATCTGACATTCATCCAACCCTAAACCCTGAAGCCTGAACCCCCCAGGCCCTGAACCCTCACACCCTGAAGGCCTTAAACCCTCAACTCTCCAACCCTAAACCCTCAACTCTCCAACCCTACGAGCCCTAAACCCTCAACTCTCAAACCCTAAACCCTCAACTCTCCAACCCTAAACCCTAAACCCTCAACTCTCAATCCCTAAAACGTAAACCCTCAACTCTC